AGGAGGTCAGAATGACACTAGGGTTTGGCATAGTGTTCATTTTTCTGAGGCGGGGACATGGGAAGGGAAGTAGGTTTGACTAGAGGATGCACATCAAGCATTCAGTTTTGGAACACATGGAGATGACATGTAGCAGGTATATGTAAGAGTTTAATGCTAGAAATAAACCTGGGTCGATGATGCTATCTCATTTAAGCTTCCAACATTTCTGTAAAGCAGGTATTAAAGGTACCTTTTTATTGGATGGATCCCAATAGGTGATTCTCATTCTAGCCAGCACAGTATCATAGTATCATGGAAAGGGTCCTACATCTAGAACTTTCCATTACTAGATCCATCTCTCTCTCTCTGTGACCTTCAACAATTCATTCAACTTTCTGTGCTCCCTTATCCTCAGCATAAAATGGTGATAGTTATGTTGCTTTAGACTACCCACTAGCACACGTTTGAGGATTCATTAAACTGAAAATGAAACATGTGAGACTCTTTGGAAACAAGAACTATGTTAAAACAAGGAGTTATTATAGTTGTGCATAAGCCAATGAAAAGCAGAAATACAGCCCTAAGGCTCTGTCTTGATTTTGGTCCCGGTGCTTCCCACAGCCGAATAATCTGACATTTCTCCCTTCTAGTGCTGGCTGAGCTGCTGGCACGTCTCCAGCTTCCAGCCTCCTTGCCCCTGCTCCAAGGTTACATCCTTTCTCAGCTCAGGCCAGATCCAGCCCTCTACACACCTGTCTGTGTTGCTGTGACTGCCCTTCCACCGTGGTGGGTGGTTACGGGGAAGATTCCAGTCGTGAAGTTGGAGGTTGGCCAAGAGCAGATGCCCTCTGATTAAACTGGGGACAGGTCCTCCCAGAAAAGCCGAGCTTGGAGCTGCAGAACAAGGGATTTAAGGGACCAAAAGAAATGTCTCTAGACTGTTAGGGTTTTCAAGCGTTAGGATGCATTAAGGGCTATGGATTTGCTTTATTCACCCATTCATTCATACCGTGGGTAAATACTTCTTGAGTGGCCACTAGACATCAGGCTCTGAGCTCAGCATGAGGATATAGGAGTGAAAAAGACAATGTGTTTTCCCTCTTGGAATTAATATTCATATTGTGGAAAGGGAAAGACAATAAACAAAGGGACAAATTACTGCTAAGGGAACTAACAGGGGCAATGATAGAGAATACTGAGGAGGCTGGGGTAGGGAGTGCTTGTTTTGGATGGGGTGATCAGGGAAGGCTTCAATGAGGTGGTGACATTTGAGCTGAGATCTGAGAGCTGAAAGGGAGTGGGCCTATGAAGAGCAGGGAAAGGAGCATCCTAAGCAGAGGGTGCATACAGTGCGCCAGTCCTGATGTGAGAACATGCTTGGCATGTGCTTGAAACTGTGGCAAGGAGTGTAGGGGGCATCTAATGAATGAGTGGGAAGGAGCCAGATGATACAGGGCTTTATCAGCCATGGGAAGGCATTTGGATTTTTGTTTTAGTGTCATGGCAAGTCACTGAGAGATTGTATGCAAGGATGTGATTTCTGTTTTAAAAGATCACTCTGGGTCCTGCGTAGATAATAAATTGGAGGGGAAAGGAAAAGATCAAGAAACTAGTTAGGAAGCCACTGCAGTCTTCTAGGTGAGAAGTGATAGCCAAGTGGGACAGGTGGTGTCCATGGTGGTAAAGCAAAGTGGACGGATCAGAGAGGTGTTTGGAAGTGGAATGAACTAGACTCTCTGATAGACTGGAAGGGAGGGGTGAGGAAAATGGGGGAAATGAACATGATTCGTAGTTTTCTGGCTTAAGCAGCCATGCGGAATGGGGACACATTGACTGTAATAGGGGTGACTGAGAGTACAGGTTCATGGCGGGAAATCCAAACTTCTGTTTTGGCTTGGTAAAGTTTCACATGCCTGCTTGACACCCAAGTGTAGATGTAAAGAATGAAGTTGGATACACGGTTGGACGTCATCAGACACATCTGCTGGGCTTGATATGCAATTGGAGAACCATCAGCGCAGGGCTGGATGGAAGCCCCTAGGGAAAGGATTTAGACAGAGCAGAGAGCCCAGGCCTGAGCCCTGAGGAGCTCTGGTGTGTAAGGGGGAATAAGAAGTGGAGCAGGAAACCTGGGGGGAGGTCACCATGGGAGCCTAAGGACAGCTGCTTAGAGGTCAAGCATGGGAGGACCGAGGGGTGCTCACTGGGTTTAGTGACTTGGAGGTGGTTACTGATGGTGACAAATCATTTCAGGTAGTTGGTGAGGATGAAAGGCAGATTAGAGTGGGTTGAAGAACAAATTGAGGTGAGGAGGCAGAAATGACAAGGGGAGACAACTCTTTGGAGAAGTTTTGGTCAAAGGGGGCAGAGAAATGGGGAAGTATTGCTTACTTGGGTTTCTATGAAAGTAATAAACATTGTCTCCATCATTTCTAAACTTTTTGTCCACTCTGACATATGCAGCACATGGTAGTGAAATACCTAAAACATATGAAAAAGTAAACCAGGATGGCATGCAGTTCCCAACATAATAGCTTTTCTCCTTTTCAAGAAAGCTTTGAGGAGTGCCAATTAGTCAGAGTAATACAGGGATAACCATGACTCTGCTGACATTTTAAAGAAAAATCATAATCTAACTTTCATACATTAAACTATTACATGCAACCAAATTATTTACAGTACAACTTACAACTGATCACATCACACATATCCGGGCATATTGGCTGAGAACTGTGGTTCCAGACCATCGGTGGACGTCATTCATTCGTTCACCAAACACTTTTTGAGCTTGAGCTCTGGGCACTGGGGAAGCAATGGTGAACACGCCAAACATAAACTCTGCCCTCACAGAACTCACAGCCAAGTGAGGAGGACAGATGTGGAGTAAGTCATTTTAAGTGCAGTAAACTTACAGCCAGAGAAGCATCGCGTTCTCAAGAGGTGTGTCATGAGGGGTCCTGGCCTGGTCCATGGGCTCAGCAAAAGCCTCTCCGAAGAAGTGAGAATGAGTAAACGGGGAGATGAATTAATGAGGCCTGTGTGGGGGTAGAGGAGCTCTGGTTGTTCAGTGGTGAAAGCGCTCAGCTGCTAACTGAAAGATTGGCGGTTTGAATCCACCCGTCACTCCATGGGAGCTTCTGTAAGGATTTACAGCCTTGGAAACCCTATGGGGGCAGTTCTCCTCTTTCCTATAGGGCCACTATTAGTCAGAATTCACTCGATGGCAGTGGGTTTGTGTGTTGTGTTTGTGTGTGTGTATTGGGTGTAGATGTGGAGAGTGGCCAGGCAGGTGTAAAAGCCCAGAGCAGGAGTGAGCCCATCTCTAGTGAGGTCCATACTCAAGGCCAGCCTGTCCAGGAAGTCAGGGAAGGAGGAGGGAGTGGTGTGAGATTGGCCCACAGAGGCAGGCAGAGGCAGCAGGGCCTGGGGCTCTAGCCAGAAGTTTTGGTCTTTATCAGGAAAGCAACATACAGAGTTTTAGGTGTGTTTGTTGAGACAAGAGGGCTCATAGTACAGCCAGACTTGTTCTAAAAGAGTGCTCAGGTAACTGGGGGAGAATAGGATGCGGTGGTATGAGATAAAGATGGCAGGAAGAACAGGTGTCATCTGTCCACAGGCAGGGGACTGGGTTAAGTCCCTTCCAGCCCTGTTTTATCAGACATGGCTGAGAATTTAGAAAGGGGCTGAAGGGGGGTGGCCAGCTTCCTGCTTCTCAGTGTCCTGTCTCTGAAGCCTGTTTGCAGTCTTCTCTTTCCCATCCCTTCCCTCCAGGAAAACCCAACAGGTTTGCGGTGGGGCCAGTCCCTAAGGGATGGGGACAGGCGCAGACAGGAGGCTTTTCTGTAGAAGAATCCCAAGAGATACCTGCACACAGGGTCAATGTGGGGACACATGGATGTAGAAATGGTAGAAATGGAGACTAGAGGGGCTGTCTTATGGGACGGACAGCAGTAGCTTGATGGGGAGTGGGGATACAGAGACTTGGATGGGGATACTCCCTGGGAGAGGCAGTGCAGAAACTGACCCACCTCAGGAATTGGCTGGGCAGTGGTTCTCAAACTTAGCATAAAAGCACCTGAGGCAACTCATTAGAAGTGCATAGTCTTGGCCTCCCTCCTAAGGAGTGACGATTCAGCTAAGTCCGGAGTGGGAGCCAGGAACTCCAATTTTAAGAAGCCCTCTCCTCTCCCCACCAAAGTGATTCTGATTTAGGTGGCCCACCTTTTGAGTATGCCTCAACGCTGGCTGGCTTATTTGCCTTATATCCTCAGTCCCCTCAGCTATCTTTTACTAGCTTGGGCCTGTAAGTCCGTTTCAGCCCCACATTAAGAAAACCAAAACTCTGAAGGCAAAATGGTAGTGACGGGCAGCGCGGGGCCGCCAGGGGGCGCCAGAGGCCTCAGCTCGAGTGCTCGGGCTCCTCCACCCGCCGACGCCGCGCCCGAGCGAGCGAGCGGAGCCAGAGCGCTGTGGGCTCACAAAGCGGCCGGACGCGCAGCAGCGGCTGGTGGCAGGAGCGCAGGGGAGCAAGCCGGCGGGCCAGCCTTTTCTGCGACCGCGCCACAGGAGCTCGAGCAACTCCGACACCGGGACCCGGGCCGGCCCCCAAGGTACATGTCCGCAGAACCCTGCGCCCCAACTTGACGTAGTTGGGATCTCCTCGCGGCCACCCGGGGGGCTGGGAGGGTCAGGGCCTGGGGGCATCTCCGCGCGCCTCCAGTGCCGCCAAGGCCTCAGGGTGGGCAAGCGGAGATCTCTTTCCTTCGCTGCAGCCCGGAAACCCCCAGCTGCGCCTCCTTCCCCCCAGTTCTTTCAGAGCCGAGGCTCGGAGCCCTGTTTCCCCCTCCTCTGCCCCAAAGCTGTGGGCACCGTCTATAGGAGGGCGGCTTGCGGGTAGACGGCTCCCGGTTTTTGATTCGAGAACAGAGGTCTCTGGGGCATCTGAGAATTGGTGAGAGGGGTCCTCTGTAGTTTGACAGCAGCCCCCTAATTAGTGACGTAGCCTCATTTGCACCTGACCCCTATTTGTGAGAGGGGTCCCTAGGTCCCTAGATCCGCGGCGAGCGCCCTAGGTGTGTAAGGGGTGACCCTGTCCCCGCCTGTGAGAGACCCCCGCCTCCCATAGCTGGAGCCCGTCTGGAGGCTCTCAGACGCCTGGGTGCCTGGCGAGGGGCCTCCTGGCTCACGCCCCCGCGTGCCCCCTGCCCCCGCAGATGCCAGCAATCGCGGTGCTCGCGGTGGCGGCCTCGGCATGGTGCTTTCTCCAAGTCCAGAGCCGGCACCTGGACGCTGTCGCCGGAGGCGCGGGCCCCAACAACGGCAATTTCCTAGACAATGACCAGTGGCTGAGCACTGTCTCCCAGTACGACCGGGACAAGTACTGGAACCGCTTTCGAGACGTGAGTACCGCTACCAGAGGCCCTCCGGGGCTGGGAAACCTCTTGGAAAGGGGGCCTTTGAAGCAGGGTGGGGAGGGCGACTGGTGCAGTCCTCCCACGGGCGGCTTGTCTGCCCGTGGTTCCTGGGCTGCGTCTTGCCTGAGAAGAACTTTAAAGAGAACTTCGAGGGCTTGCTGCTTTTGCCTGTTACCTGTGGTTCAGGTGTGTGTATTTGTAGGACTAGGGGGAGGTAATTGCGCTAAAATATGGCATGAACAGCTGAGCAGCTCAGTTCCTGAGAGATGGGCTCCCTAAGCTCTTGAGTTCTAACATTGGTGGTTGACTTTGCCAAGCCCCCCAGAGAACCTCCCCTGCAGCAGGAGGAACGATTTAGACCATCTCTAGGATGTGTCCGAGGAATCCCTGCTGGAGACGTTAGGTTAGGGATGAGCCCAGGTCATTTACTAGATGTTCCAAGTATGGAAGGAGGCCTGTGGGGGAGGGAGGGTCATGGCAGTGGGCCTCATAAAATGTTGGGGGGCATGGTGGTTTGGACCCTTGGAGTCTTTAGGGGAAGAGGAAGGGAGCAGGTATCACATGAAGCTGGTCTCCTGTTCTGAAAGGGAGTCTGGGTGGCAGAGGATTGCTCCTCTAGGGGAGTCTTGGGAGGGGAGAAGGTGACTGAGTGATTCCTGGGCACCCAGAAGCACATATGCTGCCTTTTTTTGCCCTGGCTACCGATCCACAGAATGTAGGGCAAGAGACACCTGGCTCAGAGCCCTTCAGCAGATGGCATCCCCTCTGTCCTTGTGGAAGCTGTTGCCAGCTCCTTCACAGGGTGCCCCAGGTGGCTGGGGCTGTGTCCTTCTTGGTAGGAGACTAGAAAGAAACTTTTATCGTACTTAACATTAGGAATTCCTGACCCTAAGAGGGATCCATACCACAGAGTCCCTTGTTCTTGTCACAGGACATGATTTACAGGGTCTTTGAGCGGGGAGATGTGTGAGGCTACCTTTCCTGCACTGGATTCCTCTTAGCCCCATTCCCGGTATCCCCAGCCCTTGTAAGGGAAAGGGTCTAAGAGTTGAATGAATCCTACATGTTCTCTTGTACTTTTTAAGCTAAACAGCACCCCCTCCAGGTCCCTTTCCAGAGGAGCATGGTTCTCTCTCCTCCATCTGCTTCCCTTCCCCTCTAGTCTACGGTGGACTGCTTCTCTTTGAAAGGAGCTTTCAGACACGTTTGATGAACTTCTGCAGTTGTTTGGGATCTTCCTTTTGCAGCAGATATGTCCCCCCCGCCCCAATAATATGAGACTCCTGCCATACTTTCCCCCGTCCCTGACATGCTGTTAACTGTGTTTGATTCCCTTTTTGCTCAGCCTGGAAATGTGGCTTGTTTAGTGTTCTGAGGAGCCCTGCACGGGCTGTTTTTGCCTATGGCTGAAAAAGGTGCCCAAATTGCAGTGCTTTCATTCAAGGACTCACATGGGGTGGAAATAATGTAGTGTGTTTTTTAAAATTAAATCACTACATTTTAAATAGAGTTGAGGGGCAGGACAGATGCTAAACACTGGTAGAGATGGAAGGATTGGGTAAAGGGCCATCTTTGCAGATGCCTTGATTTACATGGTAGCTGGGTAGGATTGAAGGCACCTGTGCTTGTTGAGGCTGGCTTGTGGAAAGTTTTACTGTACTTTCGTGCCTATTCAAGGTTTTTTAGTATCATTGTATCCTAAGTATGACATTCTTAATTCCTGTTCAGGTTTCGATTTTTAAAAATTGAGCTCCTCTTCATTTCTTGGCTTTCTTGAGAATGGAGATGTTTTTCTTTAATCAGGGGATCAGTGTTTCTCCAAACTTGACTCATCATGAGGCTCACCTGAGGTGCTTGTTAAGCACTAGCACCGAGGCTCCTCTCCTGGAGATTCTGATCCCATGTATTTGGAGTGAGTCCTGGAAATCCATATTTTCGACAAACATGCCAGGATATTGCTATGATGCTTGGGAAATACTGCCTTAGATATTGTAAAAATGTTCAAGGCTTAACACAAAGAGAAAAGCTTTTATGTTCGTATTCATTGTTTTCTGTAGCAATTTTAGGTGTTAAACTGATATTTTGAGCAGCATATATATATTTTTAAATGATCATTTAATCTAGCATGCTATTAAAACATCTAAATTATTTAAAATATTCCAAATATCCTCAACCACTTTATGTTTCATGGATTCTTCTGATGAAACATTGGCTCAGCCATACTTTAATGCCATTAACCTTCTTAAAGTGCTGTGAAACTCAAACCAGATGCTCTTTTAGGGCAAGTCCAAGTGTCTACAGTTGGATCATTTACTTGGAATAACCACAAAACCTGGGTCCCCTGGGAGCAAGGAGTAAAAGGCTGCTTCTAAAGAAACTGGCTATACAATGGACAAAGCCCCATTTAGTGTTGCAATTGCCTAGCCAGCCTGATCATTTTCACTGAGTCAGGTCTTGCTTGAGGTTGACAGAACCCCAGCTTCTTGGCTGTTGTTTTGTTGAAGCCACTAATAACTTTGAAGGGCTGTGCCCTGAGATTACTGTTATGATGCTTGTCAATTTTTGAAAGTCACTGTGAAAGAAAACTTCTTGCACCCCACCTCCCCTCAATTTGTCTTTTTTTGAAATTTGCAGGAGAGATATTTGGAAGTGATTTTTGAACTTTGAAAACTGAAAGCTAAGGGCTCCTTGTGGAGAGTTGATGGTACCCATTGGGTGTTGTTGCTGGGCCAACTTTGAAATCAAGATGATGGTGGGATGTGTGCTCCATGCTCCCCTGGTTGTTGTGTATGCCGTTACTTTGCCAGTGATGACCTGAGAGCATCTACTTAAAATTTTGAAGTTATCCTACTGTTCTAGGTACACAAATAATTACTATTACTTTCCTTCCCGAAGTAAAACCTTCAGGAGTACTTCATGGCAGGAGAAATATGACAACATTCGGATGATTGTTCCTAAATGTATTTGCGGTCTGTTAGATTTGTGATTATTCTTTTATAAATACTATCATTTGGGATATCTTAGACAGATGGAAGCCCAGACTTTTGCACAAATACAGTATTAAGAAGGAGGAACTGAAGACAGATGCTTGTATTAAGGTGTATAATAATTTCCTGTCTCCAACTGTTATGCGTTTAATTCCTCCATAGCTTGGGCTTGAGAAGTCAAGATGCCACAACGTTTCTCCCAACTTCTCTGAATCTGATTGGGCTTTGGCTTTCCACCACTGTTATTATCAGATTTCCTCTGTTTATTCTTTCATTCATTTGTACATTCATTCATTCCCACAGATATTTTACTGCCTACCATGTGCTAGGCACCAGGCTCAAAGCTGAGCAATAAAAATAAATGTGACCTCTTCTTTCATGTAACCTCTTTATTCACTGGATGGAATCCTTTAATTTACTCTGCCACACATTTATTTCTTATTCTATTTTCTTTTAAAAAATGTTTTTTTATTATTATAAAAGTAATATGTGCTGGTTGTAATTAAAAAATTAAAACATCACAGAAATAGAATAATAGCTAACATTTATTCAGCACTTAGTGCACCAGACATTGTTTAAGGTAGTTTACATATATTATTCTCAGTTAATATTCATAACAATCCTATGAGAGAAATACTACTATTACCCCGTTTACTGGAGGTTAAGTCACTTGCTCAAAGTTACAGAGCCGGGAAGTGGAGGAGCCTGTACTGGAACTAGTCGGTCTGACTTTGGAGTCTCACTATATACTGTAGCCAGGCAAGAGTTGAATGGATTTTGGTTGCCACTCTCCACTGATAATCACATTGCAAGTCTTTCCTGCTTTATGTCAGGGTAATCAGAGGAGAACCTTAGGTTAAGAGAAAGTAGAACAAGAAACCAGGTGGACACAGCTTATTGTGGAGTCACGTTAGGGATTATCGTCTCCTAAAGGCTTCTGATTTGATTAAAATAATATTGTTGCTTACACCAACATGACATTTTCTTTCTCTTGCACACATGAAGCTAGTCCTGACATTTAACTCCAGGATAATTACCTTTAGCAGGCCTGAAGAATCAGAAGTATTGCCTTGGCTGGCATTTATCTTACTCTGGAGTGACCTGAGTTTGTGATTCTAATGGGACCACAAGGCCCAGCTCTCATTCTTTTTGCTTCCAGCTCGTACTCTTTAGCATTTGGTGGTCTCTGTAGCACATCTGGGGTGACAGCAAGCATCTTATCCGCTCATTTGATCTTAACATCTCAGCTATAATGAGTTTCAAGGGCAAGCGGGACTTATTGATAAAATAGTGGCTGGCTCAGTCCATGGGGCTGGAGACAAGAGAGGTGGTATGACTTAGTGGATCAGTCATTGATCTGTCTCCACATCAACTCTGTTTGTAATCGAGACCAGCAGAAAATCATTTTGATTAAACAGGTGCAAGGAGACTTAAATGAGTTTGTGATCCTGTCTTTAATGAACCCACTATCTTAAATCTCCTGTACTAGATGACCACTGATAGAAATAATTATTTCACAGGGGTCATTATAAAGGGACAGTTTAAAAGTTGATAGGCCTATGACCACCCTTATATTCTCTGTCCTTACCTTCAGTTTGCCCTTGCCAGAGAAAAGTTAGTTCATGCCTGGAGAGGATAGTAGAGCTTCTTATCTCAGTTGACCTGCTTCTTGTCCCCACAAAGCCTGCCCCTACAGATTTCAACTGAACTGGATTGCTTGGAGGACAAATACTCTCCTACACGCTAATGAGATTTTGAGTGTATGTCTCCATAGATATGGCCCCAAATAGCTTACTGGACCTGTCTAACTCTAGCTAGAACAAATGACTTAATACTAATGTGTAGATCGGGATGTAGATTTGCCTGCATATAGCAGAGGCCCCACATAACCATTGCTTAAACAAGATAGAACATAATTTCTCTCATATTAAAGTCTGACTGGTATGGTGACCCTGTTCCACAGACTTCCAGGGGCCCAAGCTCCTTCCATGTTGTTCT